GTGTCACGTGCGGTCCAGACCGCTTATCTAAGCCGGCAGTTGCCGCTTATCGTCATCGTCATCTATCGTCATCTGTCGTCATGGAGCCAGTGATGCTCCGGTATCGTCTATAGAGCTGGTGAGGCTCCAGTATCGTCTATAGCCGTGCGGGTGGCAGAGGGCTGTCTGCTGGCGGGGGACTCGTGCCATGTTACTGTAACAATGTTCAATGTCTGAGTTCAATGTCCAATGTCCGAGTTCAATGTCTGAGTGCAATGTTCAATGTTCAAGTTCAATGTCCAGTGTCCCACGTCAATGTCCATGTCCAATGTCCAATGTCCCATGTTAATGTCCAAGTTTAATGTCCAATGTCTGAGTGCAATGTTCAATGTTTGAGTTCAATGTCCAGTGTCCCACGTCAATCTCCAAGTCCAATGTCCAATGTCCGAGTTCAATGTCTGAGTGCAATGTTCAATGTCCGAGTTCAATGTCCAGTGTCCCATGTTAATCTCCAAGTCCAATGTCCAATGTCCGAGTTCAATGTCCAATGTCTGAGTTCAATGTCTGGGTGCAATGTTCAATGTCCGAGTTCAATGTCCAACATCAGGAAATCGCTGAGGCTTAGGTTTTTCTTGTTAGATATGATCAATGTAAACAAACATGGTAAATAAGGATCAACCTTGTTAGCTCTTGACTATGCATTAACACTTAAATATTCAGTACCCATGGGTTATAATATAGGCTTAATATTGATTGCCCTTGGCATCCTCCTGTCATCACAGATCTCCTAGGTAATGTTCTGGCCTGGGGCTACCACCTTTCACCTTTAGTCATATCTGAATATCTAGTGCTCCCTTTTTGGTGGTAGTGTTGGAAGGCTTGGCCACACAGTAGCACTTAGGTATCTAATGTCCATGAGTTGTGATACAGGCTCAATATTGATTGCCCTTGGTATCCGCCTGTCATTACAAGCCTCCTAGGCAATATTCTGGCCTGGGACTACCATCTTTCACCTTTAGTCATATCTGAATATCTAGTGCTCCCTTTTTGGTGGTAGTGTTGGTTGAAAACAGTGCGCAATCGTGCCACTTGTGATATGTGAGTGGTACATACTACAGGCTTACTAAAATCACAGGACACAGAATTCTTAAAGAAATCAGAGCATATACAAGCGGTCCTGTATACAGTGCATAGTCAAGTACGATACCATGGTTGAGTTGCGAGGCAGCATGTAACTGGTCGTAGTGAGTACATCATCCTAATAGTGTGTTTTGAAGTATATATTATTTTGGGAGAAATGCCAAGAGTAATGTGTAGATGCTGGTACTCATCAACATTAGTGTACCTACTTGTGCCATATGATATTGACCAAGGGATCCTCCGCATCCTGCAGACTTGCTGTCCCGTCACTGCTCTCCCTCCACAATGTACGCACTGCAAGGTAATGCTTAGAGACGGCCGAGGGTGTCCCTGCCATGTCAAACTATCCACAAATGAGCCCGGAGCATGCACAACAAGATATGATGGGTGCCTACCTTATCGAGGGCCAACTCTGGGCACATCACAATCCAGTCACAGAGTGATAATCGACGACACCAACTATGCTGATTTGCCAGTAAAATAGTCAGCCAGGCAGTTAAGAAGAGTGTGGATATGCTTACCCATCCTTTGAAGAGAGTGAAAAGTGTCTTGTAAGTTGCTCCGAGTCTCGGAAAAGACTAGGGTACAGGCGAAAACTCGTTTTTTATTAGTCGTGTTAATAACAACATGTTAATATCACCATATGTCATCCTTCGAACCATCGGTAATCAATATTGACACAGGCACGGCAACAAAGTCTGACGGCGAAGACAAAATACTATATAACCCGTGGGTCTGTGAAAAAACCGCGGTATACCGCGAACATCGTGCATACCCGCAGAACTGACGGGTCGATGTGCACCCATACCGTGGCGGGTGCGGTGTTTGCAGGTATGGGTGTGGTGTGGCTTCAGCCACCCACGGGTTCACCCTGTGCTCGACCCTAACAATGAGGTTGTCAGTACCAATCATGTTGCTCTTGGAAATCACCCAGATAAAAATTGCAATTGTGCAGGGCAAGGCAAAAGTAAGGGGAATTCAAACCAATAGCCTACATAGCAGCGGATAACCCAATAGTTAGCATTAGTTCATTGACTAAACGGCACTTGCCATGGGACCCAGTCTCCTGCAGGCGGTAGTAAACTTGAATGACCTCACCCAGGTGGGAAGCTCAAGCTTGATGGCATTGCAGTCTGCTATAGTGTAGTAAGTACTTACCGTATGCGTAAGAAGGACTTAAACAAAGTTCGAAATTTTACCTTGCTGAAAGTTACCGCAAATTGATGTTGAAATCTTGGATTTGCAGAGCTGACAGAAATTTGTGAAGTGTAGGTATTGGTCGGCAGAACTGATAAGGTGAAGTCAGAAACTAATCTGCTTACAACTGTTCTTGTCTCTGCAGCATGACAGTAGTAGAGCATGCAACATGATCAAATAAGTGTGACATATTACATAATCACATGTGACAAAAGTTCGATTGACACAATATTAGCCTAGTACTTCATACATGACAGATTCCCAGAAGTAGACATATTGCCCCCTGATCCAACAATAATAGCACAATCAAATAATGGGCTCCAATGTATTCAGTGCAAATGGAACAATGGGAACCATGCTGAGGACGATCATTGTAAGAACTTTTGTGAAATATGCAATCAGCTAATGAAATGTAGTAGAGTCAGGCTGACTTTTTTTGGGCGAGGGTATGTAACTAATGTAGCGTAAATCATCAACTCATCATCGTGTAGTCTAATACCATCGCATCCGCTCCTACCGTCTTGCTCATTGTTGCTCCCGCTAACACTCCTACTGTCTTGCCCTGTTGTTGCTCCCGCTAACACTCCTACCGTCTTGCCCGTTGTTGCTCCTGCTAACACTCCCACCGCTGGTGCTGGCACAACCGCTGGACAGAGACTAAAAACACTTTTGCGAAGGGCGATTCAGGGAGCTATGAATACCATGAGAGCGGTAGTGCATGCAGTTTTTCATGCAGCAACAAAATTTGCAGCAATATTTGTATAGGTATGATACACCTTTTCAAAAGTCTACCTGAAATCGCCTAAATATATACAATCTTGAATGATTCCGTTTAGATGACGCTCTACTTTGGTTTACACAGACTCACTTTCAAGTTCTTAATGATCCTGTCTCATCTCACTCTGACATCCTCCAAGTCCTACTACATAGTTACATACCTATCCCCCTTCTCGCAGTACTCTCCCCCTGCCTATACTCATACCCATGCCATACCTGCTCGTCCTCCTGGGAAAGAATCATCAGGGGGATGTGAATAGACTCTTCCCCCTGCAGAAGTATTATCAGGGGGTGCAGGAAACTACCCTACATAGCAACATGGGCTGCTGCAGTGTGAACTGCTGGAAGAAGAAGAAAGTATCAGGGATTGTGAAAAGAGATTTGAAAAAAAAACTGCAAGACATAGGATATTTAGTACTGCTGCATGTTCCCCATCTCGTAGTACTCCCCCTGCCCATACCCATACCCATGCTGTACCTGCTTGCCCTCTTGGGGAAGAATCATTGCAAATAGGTCGCGAAGAGACTCTCTTCCCCCTGCGAAAGTATCATTGACGAGTGCAGAGAACTAAAAAAATTAGCATGTGTCGAACAGAACAAAGGATTTACCCAATGAAAACTTCAAGTGATCACACGGGCGAAAGACAATGAAACAACCGTAAGATATAGAATGATTAGTACTGCTGCATGTTCCCCATCTCATAGTACTCCCCCTGCCCATACCCATACCCATGCTGTACCTGCTCCCTCCTGGGGAAGAACCATCGGGGGGATGCGAAATAGGTCGTGAAGAGACCCTCTTCCCCCTGTGAAAGTAACATTGGCGAGTGCAAAGAACTAAAAAAAAATTATCATGTGTTGAACAGAACAAAAGACTTACCCAATGAAAAATCCAAGTGATCACACGACTTGAAGTAAGACAAAATATTACCACGGTATTGAACGGGTGACGTTGTCCATTCATTCTACCTGTATAGATAGTAGCAACTGCCAGTGGATCAAAAATAAGGATGGAACAAAGGCATACATACAGTTGGAAGTGTGGAAGGGTATGGTCAATGGCTTGTTGTCTACCAGGAGCCGACTGGAGACAGAGGTCTGAAAAAGGCCTGACATTTGGATTAATATGACGAAGTCACATACCAAAGAGAAACATACAAAGATTGTCCACCATGACACCTCAGTTCTAGGATTTCAAGTAACTCTGGAACAGACGGATGTGGTATTGATCTCTCTCACTGAGAACTAGTGCTAAGTGTGAGCAAGTGGCCTGCAAAAACAAACAAGTAATAGTGCACACCACGGAAAGTGAAGGGGAGTTTGAGATCAGAAAGCTTTTCAAAAAGTCAAGGGTCTTAGTTGTCCTTGTCCATAAAGAAAGAGACACACACAACAATGCTGAAATAGAGAGGTTCAGAATACGTAGTGGTACAGGATGCAAGTCAGCGTCAATGCGGAGAAGTTACACAGGTTATACTAATGTATTATTCAAGGCCTCGACTTGAGGTGAAAAAACGAATCGTCAATTGGAGGCTGTAGGTATTGCGTGTCCGCTGTGCGCTGAGATGGAGCATAATCATAGATTCTAATGAGGGCTCCTATATTCTCTCTCCTGCACTTTCCATCTTTGTCTATACCATAGACATTCATGTCTCTGAAGCAAATTGGAGACTTGAATTGATTGTAGGAAATGAAGATTGAATGAATACCTGACGTATCCCAGATCATGTCCAACCTCTTGAATCTCCATCAGAGGAGGACCATGCAGGCACCCAATTCTACGATAAAGCTTAATCACAGCTGCATCACCTGTCCTGTTGAGATTGCGATTGAGTGCTTTCTGACAGTATTCGTAGAACTCAAGATAAAGGTCAAAACTCAGTTAATAACAGAAAGATATGAGTCGCTTACGAGACACACTATCAGAGAAATTATCCTCATGTTAGGATTTCCCCCTTCGTCGAGAACTTGATCCCAGTATAAGTCAGTGACACATACATTTGGGTTAGATGCGATTGGGCGAAGGATCATATAATGCCAGAGTTCTTTCGCCATTTAGAGGCTGAAGTATCTCTATCACAATATGATGCTAAGAAATGAAGTGAGGTAAATTATTTGGTGATACTTCTAACTCACATCAAAGGCCACTAGCATTTGGTCTTGTCCTTGATCGAGCTGAACTGCTGCTTGATCAAGCACAGCTGTCATCCTCGCAATCCTTGTTTGCCCTTCATCAATGTTAAGACAGAAGCCCAGACCCTTGGAGGGCTTCAGACAGTGGCCTATCACTTTCCTAAGATCTGAAAGACTCAAATTTGGTGTGTGGTCAAACTAGTTGGTATTGTTTGTTATCATCGATATTTGAAAAAAAAAACATACTCACTGTGCCATGCAGATGATGCCAATGGAATCTCACTCCTGTCGTAAACTCCACTAGAAACAGACAGCAAGCATCAGTTCAAAAACTAAAGATAGACAAAATAGTGCTCACAATCAATAATTTGACAGTCCTGGTAAGATAAGCCAATACGCAACATAGCCTCCAAGAAGCACTGCGTGATGAATTGATGTCGATATGGCCATAACTTAACCACCCTCATGGCATTGCCATAGCACCCTGTGATGAGACTTCCAAACAGTATCATTTTTAATGATCTTGCAATCGATAACTACAGATGGTCAGCTGGTAGATCCCCTAAGATAGACTGACAGCGTGAATTATCACCTGATGAACTGTGCTCTGTCCAGCGCAAGTCCTCTGATAAATGGATGGTCTGAGGGAGCAGTAACTCGTCTACATTGATGAAATCCTCATACGTCGGAGTCTGTGACGGCGGTATCGCTGGTACTGGAGCTGATGATTGAATAGGTGTCTGTGCAGTCGCTTGGGCCGGTGGTGATACAGGTGTGATTCTGGCAGGTACCAGTGCTGAACCTATTGCACTGGAGCTAGGCATGAAGCCATATACTTATCCTATCATAATCAGTTAATGTGCTCCCAGGAAGCGAAACACATATGGTAATCTTGCTGGAAAGATGCAGTAGTATAGTCTTCTGTGTATACCTGTTACAAGCAACACCGGTCACGTGGCCCCCCTATCATTTTCCCTTCATCCTCGCCCTCACCATCTACCGGCTCGTCCTCCTTTACCGACTTTCCATTGACCGGATCCTCAGGACCGTTCCCGTCCCTCGCATCATCCGCCTCTATGCACGTGCACGCACGTTCCTCTCTTGATTCGACCACCAATGTGGTCCCGCACCTCTGACTCGGTCTGACTCGTGCCACCAATGTGGCTTTCCTCTTTCTGTTTCCCCTGACTGCGGATTCCCGCACGTTGTATTCTTACCGTTGGTCCGTTCCAACGTTTCTCGGTCTCATTCCACATTCGACCATCCTTCACTAATCCGGCTGTGTTGCCAACGCACCTATACCATTCTCATATCCCCTTTACCCTTACCTACTGTGCGGTAGCCTTGCCCTTAACCCTCTCCACTTAGTATAAGTAGTCGGTCACCCTGTACTAGATTTTCTAACTTGAATCTACTCAATCTTCCCTGGAACATACTTCCCTCTGAAGCCTCCTCAGCTTCAGTCTCTAGTATCTTTTCTTAGTCGCTCCTCGCGGCTAAGTCTACTTCGATCGACCTCATCGTCCGGACAAGACAGTCCTGACCTTGAGTGACTTCTCAAGACATCCGTCTATGAAGTCACGTGACACGCGCGTACTGTGATCGCTGCCGACTCGTCGTCGCCAGTCTCACTTGCTATACCGGACCCTTCCGGTTACGTCACGAACGTTAGCGGACGTCGCCCCTCTTAGGGCTCCGCCTAACAGATCTATTTGAGTGCATAACAATACCTGACCAAAAGAACTATCATCAAGATCTTCAGTGACCATACCATCTATGATATCATCCAGGCCATCAAAAACAGCCTCGTTGTAATGACCATAAGGCCACGGTGCCAGTTTGGCGATGAACTTCCTATCCACTGCTGTGGTCAGCTAATGATAAAGAGGTAGAGGGACAAAAGTTACATTCAGGCCACATCCAGACCGCAATCAAGCGGTGATCATAAACTCTAGATACTACTTCCACGTCGTGGCTAAGTTCATCCTTATCTTAAGGCTGTATGACAAGATACGCTAACTGTCCAAAACAAAACTGAGGTAACGAGGTCTCGCACAGTAAGACCATAGATGGGTACCAAGACCTCATACTCAGCTCTTCCAGAAGCCTTGATGAGTGGTCCGCTATGACCGTTCATGCCAATATATCCCAAGGGCTCTTTCTGGAGAGGCCAAAAGCCATCCATAGATACTTTTGTAGGCCACTATAGATGCATTGATGATTTGAATGGTCAACAAACTTCAGTAGAAATAGACTCACATAACAAGGACCAATGTTTCTCCAGGACAATATGTAGCATGCGAAGTCTAGATCTAGCCTCAGGTCGCTAAAGCTGCCCTGTAATATAACGTAGTTCTTCATCTTACAGTAGGGAGGAAAAAAAATACCTCCTCCTAATGTTCAAGTTATTTTAGTATAAACTTGAATGCAGATGGCCATGCAAATAGTACACACTGTATGTTCAAACCCAGTGATAATTCCGGGTATATGGTTGTATATGTAAGTCATAATCAAAGAGTCGGACACAGTCAAGATGTGTTCCAGGATGCAAGTGAGCAGTGAGAATGAATTGAGCAAACTAGCAGGCTAGGAGACAAGGGTATTCATACTGAATGGTACTGGGCTATGTGTCAGATAAATGTAATTGATGCACTGAGGTTGTGACAGAAATGTTGTAGACACCACTACTATTGGACGACAGAGAAGGGATGTACATAGTAACAGGGCATGATGAACATTCGATTAGTAAAGATGTTGACGTAATTAGATGCACTGCATTGTATTAATAGTAGGTATGCCATTATTGGACGACAGAAGTGCAGTGTCAGTGATAGCCTGAGGGCATGTGCAGAGGGTCCTAGGGTTTGAACATTCATAAATCGAACTCGTGTTCAATAAATTTAAATGTAATATGCACTACAATAGAAATGTCGTGGTTACACCACTATTGGACGAGATGGGTAGTGATAAGGCAAGGGTAGAGAGGCCTAGGGTTCATAATCAAACTCATGTTCGATGAACATGTTGTCCAGCTCCTCTACAATAGATTCCGTGCTTCCATTTTTCTCCTGGTGAAATAAAACTTCTTTTTCTACCCCAATATAGTCATAGTCTGACTCTTCATCATCTGACTCGTGGTGCTCTAGATCATTTCCATTGATGTCTCAACCTTCAGAAATGTCGTGAATAACAAGCTCCTCGTTATCAAGCCTGCCGTTATGAGAGTAAATATGGCCCACACCAAGACCATAATGGAATCACATGAGCATATCTCTGTCGACAAATCTATACAATGATCAGTGGATAGGATGTACTACGAAGTTACAGTGCACTCGCCTATTGACATAATATTCACACCAGTCTCCTTTGTCACTAGCTGTGCCGGATAAACCTCTGCCATCCTTATGCCTCATTCCTTTGGAGAAGCAAGGAATTAAGTGAGCTGCTCTGAGGACGTCAGCTGCATTCAAAAACCCAAAAGAATCTTTGCTATCCAATGGAGGAAATTTAAGGCGATCCAATGTAACAATGCTAGAGTCAGCATGTACCTCTTCATACCAACGCATGAAAAGAAACTCCAATCTATGGGCTGTATGGTAGGGACTGCCAATGTAAACCACATTGACATGGTGGATGCCTAACACCCTGGCGTAGCGATAGTGTGTTCTAGGTTCGCCGTAGTTGCTGAGGACCATGATATTGCAGTGCCAGGTTTTGGGGTTGATGACATCTTGGTCCCGTCTAGTGTCGTAGGTTGTGTAGTTGATTCTAGCAATGTTGTGGTGGTAAATTCGATTTCATTTGAAGAGAACGTTACTGATATCTCCTTCGGCTTCTTGACCAGGTTGAGACACTTGAATACAACGAAGAAGATGATCTTGCAAGCGTGAAAAGTAATGCTATAAGAAAGTGTATCAGATAAAAGAATATATGCATCGTCAATAGTCACATACCTTCATGGCTGGGTCGCCCTCTCTAGCATGAAGATAGGATCCAATATCGTCATGGTTTTTCTCACACTGGCCGATGTGATGATGTACAGAAGGGTTATGCATTGTAATATCTGCTGCATCACCTGATTCTGCCTGTTGAATACGACACTTGATGCGCCTGATTCAAGCTTGGCGACGTTTGATTTGTGTGAGCTGCCTGACAAAAGATTTTCGGTCTGTCCGGAGGTATCTTCTCTTTCCAGTGCAATGCTCTAGTTCTCCCTATCAGAGCGGTCAAACCAAGAAAATATCAGGTGCTCAGAAACGTACAGGCTCCATGCTATAAGAGTCAGTTGTACCAAAGCGTCTTATACATGAGACATAGTCTCCAAGGGCGTGAAATTTGTAGGTTTGGAGATTGAATGATACTGTCCTGTGTAATGGTTTGTCTGCGGTTAACTTCTCTGCCTGACCAGCAGTTTTCTTGCCCTTGTCGACTTGAGATCTTCTGGTGGCTTCCTTTGCGTGACGCCTTGAACAAGCATTTACTTCCCTATCTAGTTCTCTTGCATCATAAGATGCACAGACAAGCTCCTTGAATCGTCTGAACAGGTTACCTCAGTAGTCGCTGTATCAAGAATATCTAAAGTTAGGTCTGAATGCATCCGCAGCTTGGCTAGGCCATGCCAATGCGCCAAGGTAAACAGAAGATCTTGGATGATCTTATTGTGATTGTTGTTTGGAAGCAGCCCATCAAATACTGGTATAGCGCACTTGAAAGAGACTCAGTTTACTTATTGTAGCACAGCATTCAACATACCTGAAGTAAGTCTTCAAAATTATGAGGAGCCATGTTTGACAACTCGGAAGTATTAGCTGTGAATCGTCTAATAGTTGACTGTCCAAATGGTGGTACAAGTCTGTACCTAGGTGAATAGTCAGCATTTCGTGGATAAAAGGTAGTGATAACATTACTTACCGCCTGTCTAACTCATGGACCAGATCTTGATTCACTGATCGTATTATCCTTAGCAAATGAATTAACAGTGAGCGCCATGTGCCAATCTCAACTTCATGGAGAAGATCAACCACCAAGGCTTCAAACACATTGAAGCCATAAGGATGTAGTCTATTAGAAAGGACATTCTGAAGGGACCGGTCAGTTGGGTAGATTAGCAATAAAATTTTACTCATACATGTTGGCACCCAGGAACACGGCTTGAGTATATTCTCTACTGTGGTGCTGTCGATGGCATAATGCTTGTCATAGATAATCTTCCTTGCTGTGGTCACTAACTGATTGCATTCTTCACTTGAACACAGGAGCATAGTCCTTTGCTGCCGATCACGTGGCATGCCAAGGTTGTGCAGTCTATTTTTTGGGATGAGACATCTAGGGCAAGGGCATCCACCCAGCTGATGTATGGTGGCAACAAGAACTCTGGTGTAGTGAGCTTCCAAGCTAGCATCTAAAGGTGATAACTCACTTCTCTGGATAGTCTGCTGAATATGTGAATATCCGTGGATAGAATCTACACTTGATCCCATCACAACACTCAATTATGATGCCATGTGCATATGCTTCTAAAAACTCATCGTCAAGTAAAACTCCCCATTGCGCTGTAGGGATTCATTTCTGGCTGGGCTTGCAGAGACTGTTTTTACCTTAGTGTTATGTTTGCACTTTTGTAGCTTACATAATCAAGTTACCTTTTCACCAGTTCTACTATGAGTCTGAGTATTCAGCAAGTTTCTATCATATTTCCTCTTCTCTGAGCCTTGAGCCTGGTCCAGAAACCCTTTAGGGTCGAATAGCAGCTAGGTTCTGCAAGACCCAACATTGTTCAGACTCACCATCTGAATTGTTGTACCTTCAGCGCCTGGAATAATTCTCTCTGGCAGTGTGTTGTACATTCTCGCCCAACACCTTTTTCTCCAGTGTGTTCGCAAGCAAAGTCCTTGAAAGAGTCTGGAAGCTGTGTGCAATAGTTGAGTTATTAAAGACCAAAAAAGACAGATAAGAGCTACCTTTTGAAAGTACGCTACATGATTGCCTAGATGGCAGGAAGGTTTGCAGCAACGATACTTTGATTCATTCCCGAAATACAAGTAAACTGGCCAGAGCTTGGCGTTGCCGAAACTTGTGAGGTGTGTAGCGTCTGACCAGAACATGAGTGAGACTATTGCCCGTGGTTAATCACAATTTGTTACGCACTCAAATAGATCTGTTAGGCGGAGCCCTAAGAGGGGCGACGTCCGCTAATGTTCGTGATGTAACCAGAAAGGTCCGGTATAGCAAGTGAGGCTGGCGACGACGAGTCAGCAGCGATCACAGTACGCGCGTGTCACATGACTTCGTAGATGGATGTCTGTGAAGTCGCTCAAGGTGCGGACTGTCTTGTCCGGACGATGAGGTCGATCGAGGTAGACTTAGTCGCGATGAGCAACTAAGAAAAGATACTAGAGACTGAAGCTGAGGGGGCTTCAGAGGGAAGTATGTTCCAGGGAAGATTGAGTAGATTCAAGTTAGAGAATCTAGTACAGGGTGACCGACTACTTATACTAAGTGGAGAGGGTTAAGGGCAAGGCTACCGCACAGTAGGTAAGGGTAAAGGGGAAACGAGAATGGTATAGGTGCGTTGGCAGCATAGCCGAATTAGTGATGGTTGGTCGAATGTGGAATGAGACCGAGAAACGTTGGAACGAACCAACGGTAAGTCTACAACGTGCGGGAATCCGCAGTCAGAGGGAACAGAAAGAGGAAAGCCACATTGGTGGCACGAGTCAGACTGAGTCATAGGTGCGGGACCACATTGGTGGTCAAATCAAGGGAGGAACGTGCGTGCACGTGCATAGAGGCGGGCGATGCGAGGGACGGGAACGGTCCCGAGGATCCGGTCAACGGAAAGTCGGTAAAGGAGGACAAGCCGGTAGATGGTGAGGGCGAGGATGAAGGGAAAATGATAGGGGGGCCACGTGACCGATGTTACTTGTAACACAATCAAGTTCCCTGGGAGATTCTTGTAGTTTCTGATGTGTGTCCATAAATGCTGGAGACTGATACAGCTCGCCTTGGATTTTCACCTCTCGCTGAAGATGGTTCGATTGCCATAGCAGCTCGTATGGCTCATAATAAAACAATTCGTCATCACCTGTGTTCGCCAGCTTCTCTCTTATGACACCGATTAGAGAACAATGATATAAATCCACCCCAGAGTAGGTTTGAACTCCTGCTTGCTCGTTGTTACGTGCGATGGGAACCTGAATGAATACTTGTGTTTTACGCCAGCCAGCGTCTTCATCTTCCCATGCTTCATTCCCTTCCTCATAGTCATTCTGGCCTAAAGTCGAATTGATTTTTCCCCAAGGTGTTGCACGAACACCATCACAATCAAAGTTTGAATCCATGACGATACCGATAAGGTCATTAAAGCTCTGCTGGGATTTCTGCACCCTGCCATTCCAATACCAATCGCCCAGTTCCAATGACGATCTATTAGGGTATGGGTAGTAAGGAGAAGCCTCATCTAAAATGCCATCATCTGGTGCCCCGTCGGATAGAGGTCTCTCTCTCCTGCTACCAGGAATAGCACTGATATCCTCCAGCGTGATTGCCTCTTCAGGGTCATGAGAGGGGGGGGGTTGAGGAGAAGAACTGACGCAGGAGCCCAAAGATGTTGCGAGGAGTACGAAAAGGAGGTAGAGCTTCTACAGACTGGGTACAATGAGGAGGAGGGGAGTCTGAAGATTGATTGATGCGGTTGGTTGGCACACTTGGAAGAGGTTGAGGTAGAATATCTTCAAATTGCCTGTAGCATCTAGGTAACTGAATGTCATTGCGTCTAGTCCTATGTTGGGCCAAGGGTAAATCTTCTTCACCACTAGCACTGAGGGGTGCAGAGGCAGTGATTTCCTCTGTTGACAAAGGGGTGGAGGCGACATCCACCCTAGGAGCATCATTTCTGCTGACTAGGAGATCCAAGGCTGGACAAGTGGGCCCAGAATCTGGAGAAATAGGATGTGACGGGCCTCCCTTATCATCAAGATGTGTATGAGCCCTTTTGACAGACCCAGGGAGATCTTTAGCCTTATTTAAAGCAGAGAACAGACATTTTTTGCCCTTGACACAAGATTTTTGGTGTCTTGTAAAAGCACTTTCCTGCTGGAACCCTTGACCACAATTGCATGTAAAATGAGGCGGGATGACTTGGTTCATGGAAAGGTTTAAAAGAGGTCAAGATGTATGATAGAGACCATGTAAAATCATTTCATTACAAGTCTGGCAATGAGGAGCATACATGTGAAATTAAGTAAGCACTGATAAATTGAGCTCATTGTTGTCAGGTGCCTGACAATGACGAGCTCGAGTTTCTGAATCCTGACAATACTATGTATCAGTTACCACTAGTTCGTGCACTGTTTAAAACAACACATTTCAACTATAAATCTTCAAACTAATACATGCATATGAAACAATGAATCCTAAGAACGCTCTATGAACTTTAAATCTAATAAGGAACGAAAGATTGGTGGTGGCCTCGCTGTCACCTACGAGGTTCAAATTCAAACTCCACATGGATGGGAGGATGGGCCATAGTATGAGCACGAGTCACCAGGACACGACCTCTTCCATATTCAAACTATTGACCCAGGAAATGGATTTTCACCAACTGCTCCTCCGAGTCAGGCTGTCGTATCCATGTCATCATAGTCATTACCATCCAGGTGTTACTCTGGCGGCCCGCGATACATATTTCAACTACATAGCCAATACACTTTGTATATACCTTCATTAATATCTAATTGCCGAACGGGCTTTCCTCCAAGAATCTAAGAATCTGAAATGGGCTGTTAATGCGATGATACCTTGACTTTCTGTCACCTTTGTGACTGCATGGGATGTAGGGAGTGCAGGTAACTAATAGTATACCATGGCATCATACCACTCAAACACTTACTGCACCCCCATAATCTTTTTATTCCGATACCATCATCACTCCAAAGATACATATATATATATATTTATACTACAACATGTGTGGTTGTGGTCAAGTATCTGAGTTCGTCAAGCGGGTAATCATTACTGTACGCTGTACAGAGATGTGTTTAGGAGTCAGACCAACAATCGCTGGTGTCAGAACTATCGAACAGGTGTTCATATTGATCAGCAAATGTGCAACAATGTGGTGTGGTACCTCCCATGGAGCATACTGCCCAGCATGAATCAGCTTAAGTCTGTTCTTGTGAGTCTGGTGTAGAGCACTCACTCACGTTGCTCTCTATGAGGTATTGTATGGCGTCTGAGAGGAGTTCGACCTCTGTTTGAGCACACCGATGTCTTGATTGCATGAGCGATAACTCTGCTTCAAGGAAACACACTTCAGCCTCAGGGTTGGATAAGTTGCTAGCTTGTAATATCAGGATTTGCAAGGAAGCTCCTTCTGTAGCCCTATCATCCATGTAGTATTCTTCTATGCTTTCCTTCACCCATGTACTGACCATCCCATAAGGGCGGCAGGTGATCTACCAGAAATCATGAAAGTAAATCCAGCGGTAATAGTTATCATACTCACTTCGGGTAATATCAATGTCTCGTATATCATCAGGAGTTTAGATGTGACTGATGAATCAACATCAGTCACATCACCTATAGCAGGACCGGTGTAGAGACTCGCGCCTCTCAATGCGGAATATACGGCCCTATTACCCACATAATTCCCTACACGTTCCAGCTCTTATCCGAAGGATCAGTCATACGCGCTCTCAAGCGCGCGCCCTACGTACGCGCCTCGTTCGCGCGCCTTACACGCACTCGCGCCTTTCGCGCGCGCTCGTGCGCCTCCCCTTAGGCCT